CAACTTTTAGTGGATTTGTGTTTTTTGTATAGATGTGGGCAAAACATCAGGAGAGAATGCTTTTGGAAGTGGGCATACAGCCCAGAAAACTCACAGCAACCCAGTGATTCTGGACATGAAAACCTTTGACAATACATTAAACACATTAATGTATTTCAAAGTTTTCAAGGAGATATTCATGTTAGTTTCTCGCAGCAAAAATAACAGCCTAATGGCAGTCTAACAAATTTTACTTGAGCACTAACTTTTGTGGAGTGCAGTCCACTTTGTCAAAAACATGGAGCATTGCATGCTAGACTATTAGATGCTTTGAGAGACCAGGCAGGATGGCAGACTGCAGACTTCTCCCCTGATAAGCTCTTGGGGGAGAAGTCATCACCTGTGGATAATCACCAGTTCTGAGTTATTTTAGGTCCAGTGAAGACATTCTTCAAAGCAAGAGGAAAGTGGAGGCTTTCAGGAGACCCTGTTTCTGCCTCTGATGCTTTGCCAAGGAACTTGTTTTGCCTTGGCAATCGAAGGCTAGGTAGGGGTCAAGAAAGGGAATCCATCCCATTGTGGCACATGTGGCTCACAGCAAAAAGGAATGCAAACTTGTGTTTTCAGAAAGACAAGTGATTTTACTTGGTGAAATTCACTCCTGTCTGCTGGATAATTAAATTCCCATTCACATTATCTTACACTTTTCAGAGACATTAATTATTTAAATGTATTATCTAAAGCTAAATGGAATGCAACTAACAGAAACATCCACTGTAAATTCCTCCACAGAGTTGTTGGGACTCTTAGGAAAGACTCTTACGAAATGCCAAGGCTGATACATTTTGTGAGGTGGGACAATTATAATAGCGAATAGTTTACACATCCAATAGAGGGTTAAAAATGTATTTTTCTTTGAAGACAAAACAAAGAACATTTAAACATATAAGAAGTAAACATTTGAACTTTTTGGAGTATAACATCATCCCTTTGGGGGAGTAACTTAGCAACAGCAATTAATAAAGAATTGAAGAAAGAAAGTGTACTCTGCTGCCATTTTGTGTTCAGTTACAATAACACGCCTTTTAATGAAGGGATCAACGAATAAGAAGTGAATATCTGTATTCCACAGGAAACTCGAACAAATCCATATTGCAGTCATTATGTGTTTACATGAAATCAGTATAAAACAATAATTGATATTCCAGATCAACTGATAAATCAAATCACTCTAAGGAAAACAGCTACTGAGAGAATACTTGTAGATTATTCTGAACCAATTTGGGGGGGGGGGGATATAGCAGAAATTCAAGAAATATATAATTCTTTGGCAAAGCTGACTCAATAGCCAATTCAGGCAAATCAAATATTGGTGAAAATGGAATTCAAAATTTAGCTGCACTTGGAAATATTGGAGAAAATTCCTCTGGATGTTTTTCATAAAGACTAAAGTAAGGAGGTTGATAAGATCTATCAACAGGTTTGGTAGGAGGCAAATCAGAAAAATCTGTATAGAGAAGTACTAGCCATCTTCGGAAGATGGCAGGTTTGTGACTGGGCTCTATCAGCTGGCTGCTGAGGAAGAGATACAATAAATAGACTGATACCAATCAAAGAGGAAGTGAAGGATCTCTGAATGGAGTACTAAAGTATGGGAAAGGACAAAAACGAAAGCTGAAAGACGATGATCACGGCTGATGAAGATTTGTGAACTAATTGAAATAGACAAGTTGACTAGGCTGATAGATGAGACGTATCTGTCAAACGTCAAGAGAGAATGGGATTTATTGATTACGATGTTATAACAAAGATAGGGAATTCATTGCTTGTGAGATTTATAAACTAGCTATGTTATTAAATGTAGAAATGTGATTATAGGACATTACTTGAAGGAAGTAGATTAGTTGGAATTTTTAAAAACTATTGTAAAGAGTGAAAGCTTTGTAGATTAGTTTTTATGCTTGTTGGGTAGCTTTATTTTGTGAGCATGTCTTGTGTATATGTTTGTTTGCTTTATGTTTTGTTTATGTGTTTTTCTTTCGTAATTTGTAGTAGATATGTAGCCGGGTTTCAGTAGTGTTAGAAGTTAGGTGAGTAGTCTTCTCTTTAAAATGTAACTTTATAATCTGTTTGTTCACTTTGTGATTGTATTATGATTTAATAATAAAAATATTATTAAAATTATTATATGTTTTGTTGGATGGAAGATGAAATTAATGAGGTGAGAGGGAATGGAAATGTCAAAAATCGAACCATTTATCATTAAAAAATAGTATTTGAGTGATAGCACAGGCATCCAAACATAAATGAACTGTATAGGTGAAAAATTAAATAAGAAAAACTAAGTTAAACCAGTCTAATTTCTAGTTATGATAAAACATTTCATTATATTTCTTAAAAAAACTACATGCCTTTTCTCTTTTTCCCCTTTGTCCTAACTTTTTTTCTGCATTCACCACTGCTAACTGGATGGCAGCATCACTCTCAGGGGTTTCTGAGAGTATAAAGTAGTAGCAGTCCCAAAGCCTAGAGTTGTTTGCACTTCACCAGACCTAACATTACTTGGTAGTTTCCAGAACTAAGCAGAGTTTCAAGCTGAATATCTCTGTTCCAACATTATTCTATGCATGTTCTCTTAGAACAGTGGTTCCTATAAAAAATTTACGATCCGGTAGAAAAGTGCTATTGTTATTTTCTGTACCTCTATGCGTAAGAGTGTGTGTTTCTCCATGCCTGTCCATGTCCCAGGAACCTTTAGCAAAGGTCTTTTATCTGCGTGAAGAGCCTGACACATTTTGGTTTTAAGTGGTTTTAAGCTTGTTAATGGTTTTAAGTGTCTATTCAGGGTGCAATATAAAAAGCACCAAGCATAGATATATGGCATCCAATTACATAAACCTTAATATATTTGTAGATTGCTTGTAGCTACTTCACATACCAACTTCAGGTCAAAGCCACAGAAATTTCTGAATGAGGATCTGAAAAACCACTTACCGGTTGAAGGAAAGACTGTGAATAAAGCCTGATTCATGATGGAAGAGAAAAAATAGATCATGTTCAAGGATACATAGATTTATTTAGCCAAAAAGGGGAAAAATCTGTAAAAACTGGAATACTTGTTTAGAAATCGAGTTAATTCACTTTACTATTTGGGCCTAAAAGAGAGTTTACCTTCACTACTAGCCAAAATCTAAAACGTGTTTCAGAATGGTTTTGCCCCAAGAAACAACTCAGCAAAGGAAGTTAATTTTAATTAACTTTCAAAATAATGTTGTGTTTGAAATAGTTTATGTACACTGAGCCATCAGAAAGCAATCACTATCTCATTCACCCATGTAGACAGTTTTGGATTTTTGGGTATTTTGACTTTCTGAATTCCAGAGAAGTAATTCTTAACCTACACATATATTGTTATAAAGTAACTCCTGGCTATGGAACTCTCTCCTTCTTGACATTCAGGAAGAAAGTAAAAACATGGTTATGTGACCAAGCTTTTGGACAGCAAAACTCATAGTGTAGCAGTTCTCAACCTGTGGGTCCCCAGGTGTTTTGGCCTACAGCTCCTAGAAATCCCAGCCAGTTTACCAGCTGTTAGGATTTCTGGGTGTTGAAGGCCAGAACATCTGGGGATCCACAGGTTGAGAACCACTGTCATAGTGCAATAGGATAATAAGGAATAGTGAACGCACCAACGGAAAAACTACTGACTCGATTTTGGATGGCCTGATTTTAATAACTTTTTAAATCATGTTGTTTATCAGTGGGTTTTAATATAAATGTTATAATATTATCAATGTTTAATTTTTTATGCGTTATGTCTAAATGTTCTATTATGTTTATATTTTAATTTGGTTAGGTTAATTTGTAGTTATGTTATTGTCTTCCTATTATCTTTGGTTTTCACATGTATATACGGCATTACATTTTGCCTTTGTAATGTTGGAAACCACTTTGAGTTCCTTCAGGGGGAAAAGGCAGTATATAAATGTAGTAAATAAATAAATAAAGAAGATGGGATAGCTGTACATATAGAGGCAAAAGGAAATATAGAAGATTGTTCTTGAAACTAACAGAAATACCAAACACTGAGAAAGTTATTTTTTGCATTAGGGATAAACCTAATTTGTTTTTTTCTTTTAAAAGTTTTTTTAAAAGAATTGGAAACTCCCTATGGATAAAAAAAAGGAAAATGACTTTATTACTATAGATTTTCACTATCAGAAAGGACCAAGTATGGAAACAAAAGCATTTATGTAAATCTTAGAAAGCGAGGTAGGATCAACTTAAAAGATTGGAAGTCATATTTTCCCATTTCTCTTCATTTTCAATATATAAAAGTGAAAACTTGGAGTTACATTTTTGATAAAAAAGATTTTCCATATCTTGGCTCATTATTAATCACGATGGACATTGCAGTTAAGAAATCAGAGGAATACTAGTATTTGGAAGGAAACTTCTGAAGGAACTAGATGAGATCTCGAAATATAAAACTATTATCTTGAATATTAAAGTTAGGATTATCACATTTTGCATTTCTATGTATGGATGTGAAAGATGGACAATGAAGAAACCTAATAGGAAGCAGATTAACTGTTCTTAATGTGCTGCTGGAGTTCTATTGATACCAAACCTAAACTCTCTTTAAAGGCCATGTTGACTAGGCAGAGACTGTCATATTTTGGGCAATTTTTGGATCACTAGAAAAAAAAAGACTACATTTCAGATTGATAGACTCAATAAAGAAAGCTACTACCTGAGCATGACTGATGACAGTGTGACTTGGAGGCCTCTCATTCATAAAGTCACCATAGGTTAAATTTTGAAGACAATTAGCAACAGCAAGTGAGTAAACCATTCAAAGGCCGATACCATACCCTCAAAAGAAATAGACATTAAGTTAGTCCTTCTAAAACAATGTCATCCTTTTTTAAGCACCACTTTAATTTAATTTCCAAAAACTTTAATTTTATATCAATCTACTTCAACAATTGCTTATCTATCCTCTTCTCTTGTCTTTCCAGATTCCATTTCTTCAGGCCAAAAACCATGGAGTGTGGCTAATTAACCTGCTCCCCTCTTCCTAAAGAACCTGTTTCTGCTGTCTTACATTCCTTCATCACTCACTTCATTATCTTTTCCGACTCTTTTTCTCCTTCCCATCACTTCATAACACCACCATACTTCCCTCCCTTGCTCTTGGCACCCTCTCACTGGATCTCCAACTCCATCCCTCCTTCGACCTCCCTTTATCTTTCACTTTTATTTATTTATTTATTTATTTACTGTCCTTGTATACCGCCGTTTCTCAGCCTAACTGGCGACTCAACGCGGTTTACAACAAAATATACAGTGCACAGTATACAATTAAAACCATAAAAACATAATACACAATATTACACGTAAATCACAATCCAATACATCTCCTAACTAAAATCGTGGTCCAATTGCATCATCCATATTACCAATCCGTAATCAACACACTCATTGCACCGAATTAACCAAATGCCTGCTTGAACATCCAAGTTTTTAGTCTTCTTCGGAATACCATCAGCGAGGAGGCTGATCTTACCTCCATGGGAAGGGCGTTCCAGAGCCGTTCCAGAGCCCTTTCACTCTGTTTTTGCATCTCACTGCTGCACCTCTCTGCCCTCTATGCCTCACCGTGTCCCACCTCTCTTGCTTCTTCCACTCAGTCACTGTACCTCCTTCTCTATATCTCACCTTGTGTCATCAGACATCTTTTCCATGCACCTAACAACCCACCTCCCCTCTCTCCTCCAGATGGATTATTTGCACCTGTATTATGCTTCCTTGCAACACCACTTCATCTCCCATCCTCTCTCCACATCATTTGCACGAATCCAGACTACTGACTGCTACAGTAAGCTATTAGTATTGTTTTAAATGGAGGACAGGTAAGTAGCAGGCAGGAGTCAAGGAAGAGTGCCATCTGTGGCAGAGGAGTTATTGTGTATGTCCATGTTTGTTTCCTGCATGGAGAATGGCCTGCTGTTTTTGTGACCACCATGTGAGAGAAAGCCGAGGAAGCTACCTTTATTCCTCACCATTTTGGACTATAATCTTCTTCTGATGTACTGCAACCAAGTTTTTCTACCTGTGTGATGTCTTTGCACAAGTTCTTCGTGAATCAACTGTTTTAATACATCACACTATTGATTTGTTGCATCAACAAATGTACATGCTTTCTATGGGCTGAAGTCAATACTGTCATAAATTCTGATAAGCTTACTCTGATTTTAAACATTAGCTTCTGTTTTTTTTTTCAAACTCTACCTTTTAAGTACCATTAGCTCACCTCTGTTGTGTTTTTTTTCACTCTGCTGGTGTTATGTTAATTTGGGCCAAAACTAATTCAAGTAGATTAGCTTTCTCTTCTCTGGCTGAATGGTTAAAGAGACACTAACATTTAACATAAACACCCAACACCATCCCTGTTGCCAGGTGAGCAAGAGGAGACAAAGAGAGATGAGAGAAAGCAGATGACAGCTGGGGAAATGGTGGATGAGGAGGTTAACTGTTGTGTAAAGAGGGTACCAATAATAAATAGATAAGGCAATATCAAGCAGATAGATATAGCAACCACTGATACAGTGGAGATTGCCCTTTGCCGCTTGAAATTAAAAAAAAATTGTTATATAATCATGCAAAAGCAAATCAGAAAAATGAAGAGACTTTATAACACTTTAAATATTAATAATTACATTGAGTTAACTAACAATTTTTAACCTACCTTTCAGAGGTACTTTGACTAGATTTTTAATGACAGTGGTCAATTTAGCCAGGAACCAAGATCAGTTAATGGGTCAAACAGACGTGGTAGTGATAGCAATAGCAATGTAACAGCTACAATAAATTCACAGATAAGTTGTCTTACTTCTCCTTCACCAAATAATTTTTGGCATTGTAAAGACTAATTAATTTCATAAGCATTTTGAGCTAAAGTCCATTTAATTAGATGAACGAAATACAATGAAAATGTTAACATTTGCAGATAAAACCTCTATACTTCCTGATTTCTCTTATTATGCATCATCCTCATATGCCTTAAGATGATCTAAAAGAAGCTTGTGTATATGAAGCTTTGTCATGATAAAATATGCTGTATAGTTTGAGTGAAAGGCATACGAATGCGACCTAATTGGGTTGAAGATACCATTCTAAGGAAGGAGGCCTGGAAAACTACAAGAAAGAGGTGAAGAACTCATGGACTGTAATTAAAAATTGCTAATGAGACCTGTGACAAATGATTAACTGTTGACATTGCTGACTTGGTGAACTCTTGGTGGAAAAACAACTTGTTTACATTGCCAAAGACAACAGTTCTTTTAAGTAAGGAAGTCAACACTATGGCTCCTTACAGAAATGTTTACAAGGCTCCTTGATAAGGAAAACCAATTAAACAAAAGCAACATCTGTCCAGGAACTGATGGGATCTGTCTGTCAGTAATTTGCAAGTTTCAGAGCCACATCGACAGATACATAAAAGGACCCTTTTCTTTCAAAAGTGTGTGTCAGACCAACTGAACACCATTTCTGAACACCATTATGAACAGTCGCCTCCTCTCAAGAAGCTGATTATCTTCAACAAGAAGAATGGTAAGAATACTTGATGAATGAATGATGAATGATTGATTTAATGTTAGAATATATGTGCAAATGTTGATGCAATATCCCCCTTTGTCTATGTAACCAATATAATTATTATAAAACCCAGTACTGGAGTCTGTGCCTACTTCTTTCTCTAAAAGTGCCTAATGCAGCCTGTCTCACTGAAAGCAGAATAAAAGAACCTATTTAATGTTTTAAAAAGTACTTATGACAACTTTAGAACAAAGTCAATGATATCTTGTTCTATTCCTATTCTGATTCACAGATTCTTGTACACAAGGAATTTTTTTACACATATTTGTACGCAAGGATCCCTGCATTTCCCTTTGCTGAAAATATTATTGTTTTGGGATTGCTCACCCAATTTCGCCTTCCACAATTTCAAAAGTCAATAATACTTTACCTACAATGGCAGAGAACTGAGTCTAGGAACTGTGAATGATGAAAGTGGAATCAATCCATATCTAGAAACAACAGCCATTACAACCTGCAGTGCATTTAGTAAATTAGCTAAAAGTTTCAAACTTAATCTAAAATATAATACCATTGTTCATCTGGTTAGAATTTAAAAGTGTACTTGAAAAAAATAAAGACATAATTTGCTTGGGCAGGCCTATTAATATTGAGACATATGCAAGAGATACATAAGTAGGACAGTAAAAACAACAAAGAAAAGCACAAATTACAGAGTTGCATGGCAACTAACACTATATGGTGATGTTTACAGCGGAAAACATACTTGATATTTCATGCACAAGCAATACAATAGAAAAGCAAAGGCTACAAATATCCAGGACTCTCATTTTGTAATCGCATAACTACAGTATATTCTGGCGTATAAGACTACTTTTTAACCCAAGAAAATCTTCTCAAAAGTCAGGGGTCATCTTATACGTGGGTGTAGTTTTATGCATGGGAGTGGTCTTAACTCTATATTTTAACTGGAAAAGTTGGGGGTCGTCTTATACGCCCAGTCGTCTTATATGCCGGAATATACGGTAAGTTGTTTAAAAGATTTTCTCATTCTATGATTTTTAGACAATCAAGGACAAACAATAGTGACCTTCCAGATGCTTCTGGCTGACAACATGCACCAACTCATGCCAGTATAGGAAATTGTAAGAGAACTGCAATTTAAAAACATCTGGAAGTTCAGAGTTTCCCACCCTGAGTTTGTGCAAAGCTGGAAAAAAACATGCCATAAATTCAAAGGAAACCGATGTGCTCTGAGGCAGTGTTCAAGCCACAGAAATCTTACTTCGTCACAATTATTGTATAGTCTATGGAGAGAAGTCAATGAAAAGGAGAAGGTGGGGAAGGCAGATAATTCAAGCAGAGCTATTGTAGTTAATGAACACACTATTCAATGTTCTGGTTAATGAACACATTATTAAATTATAGTCAGGGAGAATGGAGCCTTTAAGTAATATATTGTGTCAATGGTAATACTTTTTCAAAGCAATACTCAATACTTCCTCCAATGTTCCTGCATCCAACTTTGCCCTGTCAGGTCTCTACTTTCAGCTGTGAAAATAATTAAGTGTATCATCTAAGCTCTTCTGTTGGTGAGTGGGTAATTCAGATGTGATTTCCCTGCCCCCTAGTTCCTTTGTATTTTACAGGTAGAGAAACAGAAATAGCAAGAAAGAAACAATGATAGAACAAGAATTTAAGAGACATTGAGAAAGAAACCATTCAGCACGATAGGCATTGAAAACAAAGCATCGCCATCTAGTAAGTATTTCACACAATGTAACAGTACGATTCAGATGTGTCTGTGACATCCTCTCGTGGTATTTACAGTAGGAGGCACAGGGAAGCCTAATTGCGATGGGAAAGGCAGCAGTGTTATGAGGCCATCTGACAGCATTGTAAGGAACTTCTGATCAGTATGTACAAGGGGAAAGAATACAAGAGGAAAGAATACAACAAGGAAGAAAAGTGAAAATGCCACTCTTATTAAGGGAAACTTGGACCCTGAGCTGATGAATACAACCTTCAATGTATTTATCAGTTACATCACTTTGCTCATTGTCACAGTTACAAAAGCAATATCATTTTCAAATTTATTTCCGCATGGGAAAAGAATCAACAAGCAGCCTTGAGTCATATGCACTTCATTGAGGGTAATATCACATGATGATGGGGGACAATAACCACCACTGTTGCTTTTGTTCATTTTTTAAAAATGCAATGTGTCATAACACATGTTTAAAGGTTTTGGGTTTTTTTTCCCAGAATCTTAAGATAGTGTAAGATACAAACTGGTCAGCGCAGGGTCTAGAAATTCAACTTCTGTAATGTCCACTAATGAATGCAGTAATCAATTTGCAAACCAGAGTGAATATCTAGTCCAAGTTGAGAGGGGATGGGATCTGGTTTTTCAAAGTGGCAATGCTATCTATGCCCTCCAACTTTGCAGACCAACAGTACAATGCTATATAAATCTGAGTTCAATATGTTTTACTTCTTCGTCAGGAGGTAACGGGATTGCAGTCTAAATCAGGGCTCCTTATGCTTTTCCCACTCACTACCCTTTTTCACTCAATTTTTTTTATATAGTATATAAAATAGGTATACAAATCAAACATTTACTGATAATAAATCGGCATTTGCAAGGCTTGCTAAACAGACCATTTTTCCTTTTTGTGGGTTACAGCTAAGGCATTTTCTGCAAAGTCCACTGTAAACAGTGTTGCTAATAGATTTGTGTAAATGGGTAACATTCAGAAATCTTTTCCTGTTTTTTTTTTCAGGACCCCAACATTCAGCTAACAGTACCCCATTTGGGGCCAAGACCCACAGTAAGAAGCAGTGGTCTAAATTACTTCAATGCACTTTTCTTAAAAGACAGCTGCAGATACTTCCATCAAAACATAATGCAGGTGCTCAGTTATATATTGGAGTAAGTAACCATAAATCAGTTTCACCAATTTTAAAATAGTTTCATGTGCTACAAATTTATTTTTGAATTCAAATAATCTCCTGGTCTTATTTCTATGAAGCCCTTATAAAGCAGGGGTCAATATTATTTCTGTCTCAGCTGTTATAAACAAGATCTCCTCCTTTCTCTTAATTTTGAGACCAATCAGTGAATACCTGTTAAGTTAAACCTTTCACAAATGTCAAATTATCATTTTTAAAAGGACGCAGTCAGTTCTATGGTGTCCTGGAGCTACTCAATGCTAGGATACTCATGATTGCTTCCAGAGATCAGTGGAAAAAATGTTTTGCTAAACATTTGGTGATTCTAAACTGCTCAATGGTTAAGCTATTCAGTCAGAAATGGAAAAGAAAATCACAGGATCATATATTTTGGCAAATGGTAGATTTATATAAAGCCCAAAGGAGTGGATCAATGACAAATCAGATAGGATAGAAATATCTTGGTAGAATTTTGACAGGTTCATGCCATAAACTACCTTAGAAATACTATTGAAAGGATGTAAGTAAAATGATACTATTTGAGTGAACTTAACAGGTAGTATGAATGGGTAGTATAGTTTTGATGAAGTAGTTCCATAGCAACAACTAGTTTCTGGCAGTAATTTTTAAATTCTAATATTATAGTATGGTCCACAGCCCAAAACAAAAGTGCCCGAGTTTCTTTTTCTAAATATTGGACAGGTGATAATTTTACTTCATTACTATTACTATTCTGATCATCATCATCATCTTTATATCCTGCCTTTTCCCCAAGACAGAGACTCAAAGTGGCTTATTCATGAAAAATATTAAATGCCTAGGCTATATAAGAAAAAGAAACATCCAGAATGGGAAGAGAACATTGAAGAGTCAATCAAAGAAAATTTGGAGATTTAATATCAAGTTATCAAACATCCATGGAAACACCTACATGTGTTTACAGTACTTTTCCATCCTACTTACCTAAGGCGCTCTCTGTAAACACAGTTAATGTCTGTCCTCCCACACTTTGTAGAAGAAAAGGATGCTCTCTGGGTGCGCTGATGGAAGTTGGCTTTCCACCAATATCATCAATGTTTGCAAGATCTTCATTCAAAGTGAAAGATACCTGACAACCATAAATGGCAGTGAATATTTATTTTAAGTGATAGAATTACTGTTTTTGAGAATTTAGAAAGAAAAAGGGGGGGGGGATGTACTTCACGTATGCACCAGAGCTGCAAAAGGCCTCTGTCCAGGACCATAAGAAGCTCCTACACTTTCTTACTGTGGAGTAATAAGCAATGTCCAACTGGTAGATTGAAATTTGGGCAGGATCAAATTTTTCTGTTAATGCTATTTTAAGACAAGAGTGGGCAAAATGCAACTCTTCGTATACTTCTGGGGTGCAACCCCATTAGACATAGCCAGCATAGCCAATGTGGATTAAGGTAGGAGCTGTTGTTCATCAATAACTAATGAGTCACACAGTTTGCCCACCTCTGTATAAAAAGAAGAAAATAAGAAGAGATAAAGGGTATTTAAAAGTAAAAATAAACATGGATTCAGGAAAAGAGACTAAAAGCAGGAGACTAAAGGTCTTTGACCTGAAAAGAACTATTAAGGTAAATAATATTGAACAAGTTGACCTCGTTCAGTGTAAGTTTTATAACTTGCCACTCTCCTGTTGTTGTTGTGTGCCTCAAGTTCTTTATGACTTAAGCTAAAAATATCACAGGGTTTTCTCAGCCAGATTTGTTCAGAGGAACTTTGCCTTTGTTCTCCTCTGAGGTTGAGAGACTGTGACTTGTCTAAGGTCATCCAGTGGATTTTCATGTCTGAGTCAGGATTTCAAGCCTTGTTTCCAGAGCAATAGTCCAACATTCAAATCACTGTATCATGCTGGATTTCTGCACTCTTATGTATTTCAGTGTACATGCATATGTCTGTATACTCTTAGTATCCACTGGAGTTTGGTGGATAAGGCCCAAAGAAGTTTTGCCTATTTTTAATTCAGCCCTTTACTATTCTCAAGTTATGCAGGTCTGTCCTAGAGTAACTTTAGGGGCCACTCTTAGAGGGGCAAAGAAACACATCCCAGCAATTATGATATTACGGTTTATGACTCAAATCTGGTTTTCTTTTGTCTCCACCTAAAATAATTGTATTCCTTCAAGAATGCAGAATGTACTGTTAGTTTAAGATTTCTTCTTTAAACAAGAAAATCTGACTATTTGTAATTACCTTGGTTTCAAATGCAAAAACAAAACCAAGCATTCACTCTTCAGAATAGCATTGCAGTATCCCTCAAAGGTATTTTCTCAACTGTCTTTTCTAGAACTATACCAGCCACAAAAGCAGGATTAACTAGTTGAATTAAACAGGGATTGTGTTGGGTAGGAATTAAAATAAACCTGGTGAACTAGAATTAGCTTCAGTATTTTCCTATTGCAAAGAATATCTCAGCAATTTTCTTCCAAGCTCATTCATCATTTCCCATTGCTAAATGCACACAAGAATCTAAAAAAAATTCTTTTAGTCTGAACAGATATAACCTATAGGACAGGACAACAGGACAAACAGAAAAGGCCCCAGGAAGGAGAACGTAAGTAGAAATAACATTTATTTGGCATAAATGAGCAAGATCAGCATAAGAACTCAGAATATTCAGTTTGGAGTTATAGCAAAAAAGGGGCTTCAAAGCACAGTAAAAATTTAATACTAAAGCCTTGAGGGCATATATGTAAAATCAATTGTAGTTTTTATTTTATTTTAATCAATACCTGAAACAGGAATGATTCATGTTCAGTTCATATTGATATACATTAACATTCAGTATCTCCTCAAAAATAGATTGCACTGCTTTAGACCTTCCAAAACAGTATTCACATTGTCTGTCTTATTTAGTATACAAAGATTATCACCCCGCCCTCCCCAATTCCTCTATTTGAAGAGAACATGAAGACCTGAGATAGATGCTTCGCGATCTTTTGCTATTTTTGCAAAGTCTCTTTATATTCCATATAACAGCTTTTCTCAGGATATAGCAACTAATGATTTTTTCAACATCAACACATACGTTAATTTGTTGTTTAACGTTTGTTATAGAGCCATTATGTTGCATTTGCTACTGTCAGTATTAATACCATAACAAGTTCTATTCATTTTTCATTTATTGTACACATTGCAAAATTATTTCCTCTTTGTACTTTAAATTGCTCTGGGTTCCCCAATGTTGTTGAAATAAAGTAAAATTGGGATTGCTGATCAATTTAAGAGGAGACTGCTCAGAGCCTTATACAATTTTACGAAGCAGTACAATTCAATAAAAAAAACAATATTTGCATTTCAATTTACTTACTTCTGTTCTTCCTTGGTTTCTGTGAAATAAACAAAGATATATCATTTTAAAAAAAAAACATTGATATTAGAAAGTAGACAATAAATTCAAAAAGTTAGCACAAATTTCTACACAACTGAAAAAGGCAGTTATAATGCCCCAAAAAACCCACCCTAAGCAGCCAATCAGAAGGAGCTGGTTATATCCACTGCTTTGGCAGAACTAGAGGCGGTGGTGCTGGAAACCTACCCATTTCCAAGCACGATGGCTGGGGTTGAGCCCACCACAGATCAAGGATCCTTGAACAGGAAAACCTGAATGGGGATATCTGAATTCCATACCCCAGTGCCTTACTGACCCTGACCCTGCCAAGCACTTCATGATAGGGACTTGCATCTTGATGTCAGTCAAAATAAATTCACTGAAGTTATTCTGATGAGAACTAGACTCAGAACTAGAAACCTGCCCTTTAAAGACACTCCTGTCTTCACAGAGCATATCATTTGGGAGATCTGTCCTTTTTGGTATTACTTTTGGCTGTCCCCCCCCCCCCCCAATTCTTTTGCAGTTTTAAAAGTCCAGGAGTATGTGGGGAGCCAAGAGTCTAAGCTCTATGGGTGAAAACTGCTCTATTTTGCAATCCCTTGACCCATTTTCTATGGGTTTTCAGGGGGCATGGTGTTTAGCTCAGAGAACTGCATGCCAGAGATAGGATCCTCAGACAACCAAAACAAAGGAATCCCTGAATCATCAAATGGAAAATACAAAAACCCTTACTTGGCAATTCTTAGCTTTCCTACTTCACCTCTTCCTGATGCTTTATTCCACTGTTGGGACAAGTATTTGGGAACCTTAAAAAAATAAGAAAAAAGCAATAAAAGCATGAAGTAAATGCAGAAAAATATTTATGTAACCCAAATCTTCCCCCAGTGCCTTTTATGGGAGATTCCTTAAATCAACACAAAATATTGCAGATTGATTTTTTAAGCAGAACAAGACATACAAAAAACTGCCATTTTTAATAACATTCTAAGCAATGTTCTACATCCAATCTAATCCAAATTTCTGCTTCTTCAGCTGTGCCCCCTTCTCCAACTGCCTCGAGGTGCTCCACACACCTGCCATATCTTCTCCAGGGGATACCACAATCTTCAGAGATTTGGGAGACACATGGGGAAGGAGAGAAGATGTATGCATTCTGACAATAATGTCTGTTCTGGAACAATCCTATATCTTTTACAAATTAAATGAACAACTATACAATACAATGGTATTGTTTTCCTGTGAATTACAAGAAATAAACAATATGTACATATTCTTTATTATTTTATCACAAAGGTAAAGGTTTTCCCTTGACATGAAGTCTAGTAGAATCTGACTCTGGGGGTGGTGCTCATCTCCATCTCTAAGCCGAAGAGCTGGCATTGCCCATAGACACCTCCAAGGTCATGTGGCTGGCATGTCTGCATGGAGTGCTGTTACCTTATTATGCAGTACCTACTGATCTACTCACATTTGCATGTTGTAGAACTGCTAGGTTGGCAGCTATTTTATTATAGCTGAAACATATCCAACTCTAGTATACATTTGCCAGTAAACTATTAACAATGCATATAAAGGCTATTCACTTGTTGTCAAAAGTTGTAGTAAATCAATTTAATTTTTATCACTTTTTCTTGACCCAGATATAATTTGTTAGTTTTGTCACTAAAGCACAAGCTTTGATGGGCTAAAACGGTTATTTACCTCCAGTTATGTGTATATTAATATAATCTTCACAATTTCAATAGTTCATAATATGTACAGCTAATACCTGAATCTTTGGAAGATATTAAGGTGTGCTGCAAAATAAAATAACCTAGCTTTTTATAATTCGACCACCTACCAGAATTTACAGACTGGGTCTCTTTCTACTCTCTGTTTCTAAGATTTCCCTCCTACAACAAACTTTATCTCTGTTTTAACTTCCCAAAGCCATGCCTGCATCTTCCTTCTTTGATATTCCTTCATAAAGAACCTAACATAATGATAATAACATACAATCATGAATTAAATAATAAAACATGATATCATTTAACATTAAAACTTAGAATTAAAAACATATAAATATAAACGATTAAAATCACACAATCAAACAATCGTAGTCCAGGCCATTCCAAATATCATATCTATTGCACATAATCCCTGATCATTCCTTGTATTGCTCACCACCCGAACGATTGGTTTTTAGCCCTTTTCTGAATGTCAGGAGGGAGGGGGTGGACCTGATTTCACTGGGGAGGGAGTTCCACAGCCAAGGGACCACCACTGAGAAGGCCCTGTCTCTTGTCCCCACCAACCACACTTGCGAAGGAGGTGGGACTGAAAGCAAGGCCTCCCCGGACAATCTTAACTTCCAAGATGGTTCATACAGGGAGATAGGCTGTATGAACCATCTTATAGGCTAAAGCTAGCACTTTGTACTGTGCTTGGTAGGAAACTGGCAGCCAGTGGAGCTGACGCAGCAGGGGGGTTGTATGTTCCCTGTACCCCGCTCCAGTGAGTAATCAGGCTGCCACCTGTTGGACCAATTGAAGCTTCCGAACAGTCTTCATAGGCAACCCCAGCGTGTTGCAGTAGTCTAAGCCAAAGTGTACAAGATGGATTGTACAGGAGAAGGTGATCCTTTAGGTGACGTGGACCCAAACTATGTAGGGTTTTAAAGATCAAAACCACCACCTTGTACTTTGCTGGGAAATTAATTGGCAAAAAGTGGAGTGACTTTAGGATAGGTCAGGAGAGTGGGGCGTGAATTGAGATACACGGCTTGTGAACAGGATGCCTGGCTTTAAAATGTCTTTTCACGTTTCCCTATCCTCAGAGCTGCAAGTGCTGTTGGGTTGCAATTCCCATCATCCCCAGTTCACATGGTGGATAATTCAAAGTGGTGAGAGCTGTCGTTTAATGACATCTGGGGACCTGAACTGGGCAACAAACTCAAGCTCACTATAGGTTGTTGTAGGTTTTTCGGGCCATATGGCTATGTTCTAGAATCATTCTCTCCTGACGTTTCACCTGCATCTATGGCAGTGCTTCTCAACGTGGGGGTTGGAACCCTTGGGGGGGTCACGAGATGGTTTCAGGGGGGGGTCACCAAAGTCCATCTGAAAACACATATTTCTGATGGTCTTAGGAACCCTCTTGGAGAAAAGGTTGAAGATATGTCTGCCTATCCTTCTCTTCCTTTTTTGGTGTTGGTGAACTACAACTCCCAGAATTCAAAAACAGCTTGCCCCAACCCCACCAGTATTCAATATTGGCCATGTAGGTAGTGTGCCAAGTTTGGAGCAGATAAATTGTGGGGTGGGTTCAGAGTGCTCCTTGATGGTAAGTGAACTATAAATCCCAGCAATTACAACTCCCAAATTTCAATATCTATTTCCCCCAAACTCTACCAGTGTTCACATATTGGGCATATTGAGTATTCATGCCAAGTTTGGTCCAGATCTGTCACTGTTTGAGTCCACAGTGCTCTCTGGATGTAGGTGAACTACAACTCCCAAACTCAATGCCAATGCCTACCAACCCTTTCCAGTATTTTCTGTTGGTCATGGGAGTTCTGTGTGCCAAGTTTGGTTCGATTCCATTGTTGGTGGAGTTCAGAATGCTCTTTGATTGGAGGTGAACTATAAATCCCAGCAACTAAAACCATCCATAACAGTAACAAAATTCCAGTTATGAAGTAGCAACGAAAATGGCTTCATTGTTGGGGGTCACCACAACATGAGGTACTGTATTAAGGGGTTGCGGCATCAGGAAGGTTGAGAACCACTGACCTATGGCCTCACAACCTCTGAGGATGCTGGCCATAGATGCAGGCGAAACATCAGGAGAGAATGCTTCTAGAAAATGGCCATATAGCCCAAAAACCCTACAACAACCCAGTGATAAAGCTCACTATGTTAAAAAAAAATATAGTTGGCCCTCTGTCTCCACAGACTTAAGGGCCCCTTGAAGGCAACCACGAGGCTGATGTGGCCCTGGGTACAAGGGAGGAAGAGGAAGAATGCAGCCCCTCTCCCTTGACAGCCTGGCCTTCCAAGAGCGCACTTCTTGGTGTCCTCCTTCTCTAAGCACTCAAGGGTTCCATTGCAGATCATTCCTGCTTCATGACTGGGACTGAGTCCCCTGAAGTCTTGGCTGTCACCACCTCTTCCTCTCTCGCCCTCAGGCAGCGCCATGCGTTCACACGAGTGAGGGGCGGGGAGGGGGTGGGCAGCCTTGGAGGCCACTTTCTCCACACTGCGCCCTGTTTGGCAACTTTTGTCCGCCATTTCCCGAAAAGAGGAGGCCTCTTCTCTCCCTCCCTCCCTCCCTCCCTCCCGCTCACCTTGACGAGCCACATGCCCGTGTTCTGCTTGGCCCCGGTCAGGTCCAGCTCCCCCTTCTCGCTCATGGCGGCCCTCTTGCTCTCCACAACGGCAGCTACCCGAGCAGGAATCGAGAGCACACTCGCGGCTTACGGGGGCCGACAGCGACCAAATCTCCGCCTCCGTCCCAAACGCGTCTCTGGCTGCGCGCTCACACCTCCTCGGTGGGCGTGGCTTGTTCGAGAGGCCCCGCCTACGGGAAGGCCAGGGAGAAGAAAGGCCAGGGCAGGACTGATGGAGGCACCTGTGATTGCATATCTGCATAAATAGAAGTCAAAATATGTATGCATGTATGTCTCAGGAGGGAAGGATAGAGGCAAAGATGAAGTATTTTGGCCACATAATGAGAAGACAGGAAAGCTTGGAGAAGACAATGATGTTGGGGAAAATGGAAGGAAAAAGGAAGATGGATGGAGGGATGGCATCCTTGAAGTGACTGGCTTGACCTTGAAGGAGCTGGGGGTGGTGACGGCCAACAGGGAGCTCTGGCGTGGGCTGGTTCATGAGGTCACGAGTCAGAAGCAACTGAACGAATGAACAACAACAATTTTTTTCAGGATGGCTCCTTCACCCAGAGAGCCATGTCGTGACCAGCAACGATGGATCTGGACCAAATTTGACACACAGACCCATCACGACTATCTTAAAATATTGAGGTTTTCGGGAGGGAAGTGATGGGGGTTCCACCCGTGGCACAGCGGGTTAAACCGCTGAACTGTTGAACTTGCTGACCAAAGGTTGGCGGTTCAAATCTGGGGAGTGGGGTGAGCTCCTGTTGTTAGCACCAGCTTCTGCCAACCTAGCAGTTCAAAAACATACAAATGTGCATAGATAAATAGGTACCACCTGGGCAAGAAGGTAAAGGCGCTCCATGTAGTCATGCCGGCCACATGATCTAGGAGGTGCCTATGGACAATGCTGGCTCTTGATGAGCCCCACACCCCCAGAGTCAGACATGACTAGACTTAATGTCAAGAGGAAACCTTTACCTTTTCCTGATGGGGGTTGCACTCCACCCACATCCAGAGACCACTGTGAAACCCACCGATGATGGATCTCGACCACATGTGGTACACACAGACCCTTTAATTATTATTTATACCTCACTTTATCTCTGCCGCAGGAGATGCAAAGCAGCTAACATAAAAACATCAGCATACAATTGAAAATATTTATAAAACTTTATTTCTGTCTCACCCTGTCTCTCAGTGAGGGATCAGGGCAGGTTACAGTTTACAAGATGGGAACCCCTGAAGACGCAGGTTCGCAGTTTGGGTGTGATCCTGGACTCATCGCTGAGCCTGGAACCCCAGGTTTCAGCGGTGACCAGGGGAGCATTTGCACAGTTAAAACTAGTGCGCCAACTGCGCCCGTACCTTGGGAAGTCTGACTTGGCCACGGTAGTCCACGCTCTGGTTACATCCCGTTTAGACTACTGCAACGCTCTCTACGTGGGGTTGCCTTTGAAGACGGCCCGGAAGCTCCAGTTAGTCCAACGTTCGGCAGCCATGATACTAACAGGAGCGGAGCGCAGGGAGCATACAACTCCTCTGCTGCACCAGCTCCACTGGCTGCCGATCTGCTACCGGGCTCAATTCAAAGTGCTGGCGTTGGCCTTTAAAGCCCTAAACGGTTCTGGCCCAACTTACCTATCCGAACGTATCTCGGCCTATCAGCCCACCAGGACCCTAAGATCTTCTGGGGAGGCCCTGCTCTCTATCCCGCCTGCTTCACAGGTGCGGCTGGCGGGGACGAGAGACAGGGCCTTTTCTGTGGTGGCCCCTCGGCTGTGGAACGCCCTTCCCATGGAGGTGAGATCAGCCCCCTCGCTAATGGTGTTTCGAAGAAGATTAAAAACTTGGATGTTTGAACAGGCATTTGGTTAACTCAGTGCAATGAATGTAATGATTAAAGGACCGGCAATATGGACGACGAAACTGGATCACGATTTTAGTCAGGAGATGAATTGGATTGTTATTGATATATGTATCGTGTATTATGTTTTTATGCTTTTAAACTGTATACTGTTGATTGTTATATTTTGTTGTAAACCGCGTTGAGTCGCTGGCTAGGCTGAGAAACAGCGGTATAAATAAACTACAGTATCTTCATTCACTTCTTGAGACCATTCCTACCCACACCAATGACTGATCAAGAGCAAACTTGGCACATAGAGCCCCCATGAGCCACTCTACTTCCTGGCATGGTTTGTTAGATGATGGGCCATCGATGATGGGACTTGCAGTACGTTCACCCACTTCCTGAGACCACTGAGACCCACACCAATGACTGATAAAGAGCAAACTTGGCACATAGAGCCTCCATGACCCACTCTATGTCCTGGTGCGGGTTCTGGGCCAACAGACCATGGATGATGGGACTTCCAGTACCTTCACTCACTTCCTCAGACCACAGTACCACATACCAATAACTGTTCAAGACCAGAGCCCCCGTGACCCATTCTGTATCCTGGTGCAGTTTGGAGGAGGATGGGCCATGGTCAATGGAACTTCCATTTGGAAGCTGTAGTTCACCTGCAACCACTGAACCCAGCCGACATTGGAACTAGACTGCACTTTGAGCACAGGCAAACAATGCCTTTCTCAAATAACCTGGACATCGCCAGGTCCCCAAGGTCGTAATAATAATAAAAACAGAACCAAACATTAGACAGCGACATAACTATACCAATATACAAATATCAGAACAGCATTAAACATCATTAAGTGGCACAGTGGGTTAAGTCGCTGAGCTGCTGAACTTGCTGATCGAAAGGTTACAGGTTCAAATCCAGGGAGCGGCGTGAGCTCCTGCTGTGCATGCAAATGTGAGTAGATCAATAGGTGGGAAGGTAACAACGCTCCCTGCAGTCATGCTAGCCACATGACCTTGGAGGTGGCTACAGACAATGCCGGCTCTTTGGCTTAGAAATGGAGATGAGCACCAACTCCCAGAGTCAGACACGACTAGACTTAATGTCAAGGGAAAACCTTTAGCTTTACCTTAAACATCATTTGTATTTTTAAAATTTCAAATTAAATCCATAAAAACATATAAAAGCAGGGAGGGGGCCATTATGTTTAATTCATTCTTTTTTGGAGGGGAGATAGATTTTTCAACAACAATTTTGATAATGGTTATCTTATACAATGAACTTATATTTGGTGTACATATTTTTCTATCCATAAGGATCCTTATTCATATTTGTTTGCTACCAGGAAACTCTCCATTAGGCATGGCAAATAGGTGGTCTTCCAAGTATTCTTGGACCACAGTGCCCATCATCTGATGAGGCAAGGCTAGCTAGGGCTGTTAGGAGTTAGTATCTAACATCTGCAGGCAGCAAAATGTCTAGACTAGTGCTTTAATATCAGGGATTGGTAACTTTCCTCCCAGTGAACCAGGGACTAGTAACACAGCTGTGCCCCTTGGCATCTGGAAGGATGAGCATTATTCCTTTGTATTTCAAGGGCACTCATGGTGAAGCATTTTTAAAACTGTCTCCTAAGCAACGGAACAATCACATTTCATACATTAAATAAATGTCCCCAGACAATAATTATTTTTTGTGTTTTAGCACAAGATTCAAACTAAACATTTAGTTAATGTGTGGTTATTGACTACATTTTCATTTGAGGGCACTCAAAAAATCTTTTGTTAAAAAGAGACACTTAGAAATCAATTCTTATCCAGTTTTGGCACATAACTAATGCTATGACTATAAACCAGTGCTTCCCAACCCTTTTTTGACCAGGGACCACTCTCCAGCATTTGTATGAAAATGGTTACAAATCAGTTTTTGGTCAACTTTTAGATTCGCTTTGGTTATTTGGGATGCTGATTCAGAAAATTGCATTGGATAGACCACATCAGCTCTAGTTTCGGATACAGAACAGATGCCATCCAGTAGTTGTCATCTGCTTGCCCACAGGGAAACTATATTTAATAATCTAGAGTCACTGACTTTATTTTAGGTCTTGCGGCCCACAGGTTGAGAACCATGGCTATAAACAAAACAATGTTGATCTTCTCTCTTTCTCTGCTAACAATAAACAACAACTAACTATTGGGAACAACTATTCAGGCATTCCCTGATTTGGCTCCAAATATGATGCTATGTGACATTAAGAAATGGCCAGAAGAAACACAGATGGAAATCACCAGGCTCTAATATCCTGGACAGTCTATATGTTTGAAAAATCTGTTTGCAGAACTCCTCTGCTGAAAAATGCAGAGTTTCAGCTCTCCCTTTTTTTAAAAAAAAAAGAAAAAAGGGCAAGATATTCTATCAACAGTCATTCTTATATAGCAGATCATGTAATTTTAGAGATGCAACCTAAGGTGAATCTACACCATAGAATTAATGCTGACATCATTTTAACTGTTGGAGCCCCCGGTGGTGCAGTGGGTTAAACCTCTGTGCCGGCAGGACTGAAGACCGACAGGTCRCAGGTTCGAATCCAGGGAGAGGCGGATGTGCTCCCTCTATCAGCTCCAGATCCCCATGCAAGGACATGAGAGAAGCTTCCCACAAGGATGATAAAACATCAAAATCATCCAGGCGTCCCCTGGGCAATGCCCTTGCAGACGGCCAATTCTCTCACACCAGAAGCGACTTGCAGTTTCTCAGGTCGCTCCTGACACGACCAAAAAAAAAAAAGCACAATGCTATGGAATCCTCTTATTACTTTTGCAAGGCTTTTACATTCTCTGCCAAAAATATTGGTGCCTCGCCAAACTACACCTCCCAGGATTCCATAGCATTGAGCCCTGCACCTTTCTGAATGCCTGTCTCCACTGTTCCATCCCCTATGAGTTCCTCCCTTACAAGTATACCTTTTAATTCTTATCTCATCCAGAGTTTTATCATTTTATGTCATACATTTGGCCTGCCCATTGTGTTTGATTTTTCACTTTGTTATTTTGCACTGTTTTATTCTACTTTTATGTTCTACTTATATATTTTTTTTGTTCTTTCTGTATTTATTCTGCTGTAATGTATTACCGGCTTGGCCTCATGTAAGCCACCCAGAGTCCCCTTTGGGGAGATGGTGGTGGGGTAAAAATAAAGATGATGATGATGATGATGATTATTATTATTATTATTAAAGAGATGTATAACAGTATTTATTCAACAGTGAAGGTGCACCCTTAATCT